GAGTCTGAGATACCCAGGAGCAAAGGGGTGTTCACCAGCCCCTTCAATGTTGTCATTCTGCAGCGTCTATCAGCTTGCTGGTGGGGAGAGCTCTTGTTCTGATGGGACTCTTGGGCTCCCCCATACTGCTCTAAGCACATCTTTTCTTTGCTTTTCTTCCGTGTAGCTCTGGGATGTAAGAAGAAAAGGCTGTGTCTTCAGGTACAAGGTAAAATGCTTCACTAGTTTTCAGGCGAAGAGGGGATAAAGATTTCTGTGGAGGGGCTTGTGAGCAAACCTTACAGTGATTATGTACAACGAACTTCGTAGTTTTCAGAATGAAAATAAGATCTGCACGGTTTGTGAAGCGGCCTCGCAAACCTCTGCGGGCCTTTGTGAACTGCATGGGAATACGAACAGGATACCATAGGAGCTAATGTGCTGTGGGCTGGTTGACTTCAGCCAGGGGATGGAGGCTGGTATCGCTATGCAGTGGCACCAACAGGGTTCTATTCTCGGGGCCTTTTCCTACCCAAAGAACTTGCTGTATATTAATTTCATTTAGAAACCAACTTAATGGCATTCTTACTAATTAAGCCAGCTCTGTATTTACCATACTTAAACTGATGTCTAGATGAGAGAGATTACATGTGCTTAGTGTGGATGGGTGTAGCTCTTGAGTGTACCATTTAGTGTTCTGCGAGCTGTGGAACCGCGCAACAGTTACGTGATTTTATTTTATTTTATTGTATAGGATTGCAAGACAAAAGCCAGAATTCTCGCTAAAGGAAGGAAGGGAAAAAAAAAAAAAGATAATACTATTTTTTTTTCTCATTTCAGGGTCACACAGAAGCAGTTCGACGTCTCCGCTTTAGTCCTGATGGGAAATGGTTAGCCTCTGCAGCTGATGATCACACTGTCAAGGTGATTTATTGTGACACTCTCCTTATGTGCTTGTGCCACATAGGAATGCTGGGATCATCTTTTTACCAGGCATTATTAGCTTGCTCATAAACACCTTTAGTTCATTGGGCGTCTGGCTGAGCCCTGTGGCTTTGCAGGGACCAGTCTGTTCATGAGGATCACGTCCAGTGGCCCACAGCATCCAGAAGAGAGCTGCATGTGTTGAGATGCACTCAGCCTACAGACATGCTGGCACTATGCACATGACCATTCAAGTTCTGACGGTGGTAGGGTAGCAATACCTGAACACTGGCCTTGGTCGTCTCAGGGAATGTTACAGAATGAGTTCTCCACAGCATGTTGCCTCGCCATCCCGATTTCTGATCCTGCTCAGCAGGAGTGTGTTATCATACATGTTGCATGTGATTATCAGTCTGAAAATTGCTGTCAGAGCTGAGCAGAGCAAGAGAAGGAATTCAGAAAAGTATCGACTGAAGCAGTGACTTCAGTTGTTTCAGCTGTGGTATGGAGGAATGTGGGTGAAGGACTGATATATTTTTGTTTGTTTTCAGCTTTACATGAAATAAACTGATCAGTCATTTAACTCTAGATTTTTCAGTGGAGACTAGAGCACAGGAAGAATGAATTGCCAAGGGATTCAGAGCTTTTGGATTTTTGTTTGTTCACTTTTGAGATATAATCCGTGGGGACAGGTGGAGCTGCTGTATTTTATCCCAGTCTCTGAATATAAACCAGAAACTTCCAGGGGACCAATGAAATGAAAAATTTCAAAGAGAATGCAAAAAAAAAAGACAGAAAAAAAGCAGCCTTAAATGCCTGGGATGGTACTCCTTCCCTGCTCATTGCTTGCTTTGACAAACAAGACTGTTCTTGCAGGGGGGGGAACGTTAGAAGGTTGCCAGTATGAGGAAATCCAAAGTGTATTGGAACTCTCTGAATCTTTTCAAGAGCCTCTCTCTTCTTTCCTTCTTCCAGCTGTGGGATCTGGCTGCTGGGAAGATAATGTTTGAGTTTACAGGACATACCGGCCCAGTAAACATTGTTGAATTCCATCCCAATGAATACCTCTTGGCTTCTGGCAGCTCTGACAGGTACATGAGGGGAGGGAGAAAGAAGGGAATTGTATATGTTGGTTCCCTTTCCCAATGCCTGTCCTTTTAGGAACATGATAAATTGGAATGTCCCACAGCTCAAACCTGCCACTGCAAGGGCCTGACGTCTAGCCAGCAGCACGTCACATCTGTGATGCACAGAACATGGAGATCTTGCCTTCTTGTCCAAAATTGGTGGCACCTTCTCCCATGCTAGAAAACAATGTGCTAGACTCAAGCATCTCCCCAATCCAGCTGACATCCTGCCTGACCAGCAGGCAGCCCTGCGCAGCTGGCAGGGCATCCTCTGAGCTCTGGGTCGGCTCTAAATGCCTATCTGTATCTAGAGCCTCTAGGCATCCGTGGCTGGATTCACAGGTCTTAGCTGGCCTAGCCTTCTGCATAGGTTCCTCATGCATGCACGACAGTGCAAGTCATGCTAGCTGTAGCATAGTATTCCAGTACTGGATCCTACAGCAGATTTCCAGAGGGTTGGTTGATGATTTTTGTTCTGTTGTGTGTGTATAGGACTGTCCGGTTCTGGGACTTGGAGAAGTTCCAGGTTGTGAGCTGTATTGAAGAGGAGGCTACTCCTGTCAGGTATATTTAATTCCTACTGCAGTGTGCTAGGCAGAGACTAAAGTGAGGGTGAAGGGAGGATTTCCTGAAAGAGTCTTTACTGGGGAGAAGTTTGGGCTGCTGGAGGTGTTGCACAGATGAACACCGGATTGGTAAGAAATGGGGCTGGAGGTGTTCAGTGAAGTCGGAGATACAGCCCTGGGGTGTTTGCGGGACTGTGTGAGGTTGGGAAGCTGTGCCTAATTCTCCACCTGCCTTCCTCCCAGGTGTGTGCTCTTCAACCCAGATGGCTGCTGCTTGTACAGCGGCTTCCAGGATTCGCTGCGTGTGTATGGCTGGGAGCCAGAGCGCTGTTTTGATGTGGTCTTGGTGAACTGGGGAAAAGTAGCTGACTTGTCTATCTGCAACAACCAGCTGGTAAGCTGCTGTTGCTCCTGAGGAGTGGGGGAGATGGCTGCAAAGCACAAGATAAAATTCTCCTGCCTCCTTGCAGCCCTTCTGACCCTTAAGCTTATGTCTGACTATAAGGGCTTGCAATGTGCCCAGCACTTGGAGCTTGGGTGCTTTTGCTTTCAGCAGCCTTGTGCTACACTCCATCTCTCTTTGGCTTCTGGATGAAAGAACTGGGGCTTGGTTTGACCAGTACTTAGAAACTATGCTTGGCAAAAGCTTTACCACAGCCTTCCATAAAACATTCGTAGCTTCAAATTGCAAAAGCCAAAGTGCTGAACTGAGAAATTCTCAAGCACAGTTGCTGAGGGTCACCCCATCATGCCTGTTCTCAAAAGGGCTGGCGTGCCTCCTGCTCCCTGCTGAATTACCTTGATCTTTTGCCTCTGCAGATAGGAGTTTCCTTTGCGCAAAGCACAGTCTCGTCCTTTGTTGTGGATCTCAGCAGAGTCACAAAGTCAGGCTCCATTGGTCATGGGCTGATCAGGGACGATGAGCCTCTTGTGCCACCTACCCCCATGGGGTCCTCCCTTCGCCGCATCTATGACAGGCCCTCAACTAGCTGCAGCAAGCCACAAAGGTAAGGGAATGTGCTGGCTTGCTGAATCTCAAGGTTTTAAGGAAATGCACAAGGAGCTTTGTGCTCTCACTCTCTCTGACAGAGTCTGCGTGACTTGCCCTTGACAGCAGCTCTTTCTCTACAGTAGAGTGAAGCACAACTCTGAGAGTGAGAGGCGCAGTCCCAGCAGTGAAGATGACCGGGATGAGAAGGAATCGAAGGCCGAGATCCAGAACCCGGAGGATTACAAAGAGATCTTCCAGCCCAAGAATGCAATCTGTCAGTACCAGGGTTTATTGTGCTTTTGAGCATTGTTTGGATTAGAGCTGTAGATGCTAAACTAGTTCGGTAGAGGTGAGATGTGGTTTACTAGGATAGAGGCTTCACCTGTGGTTGGGAGAGTTTAGAAAACTTTTAATATTCTGTGCTTGGACTCTGAGCTGCAGGTCATGTTGGCAAACTGCTGGAAGGTGGCACTGGGCAAAGCCTGGCTCAGAATCCAGAGCTCCCTTGTATGCATGCTGCCTTCCTGTCCTGATTAGAAAGGACTACTGTGTTATGGGATCTTTATTAACTTAGTGTTGATATGTAGAAAATCAGCAGCCTCCATTAACGAAGGAAAGGCAACATGTTTTTTAAAGCAGAGATTGTTGTTTAGGAGGCATAGTGCAATGCCTGTATCTCATTTTCATGTAAATGAGAGAAATGAGAGATTCTTTTCTAAGGAATTAATGGTCATTATTTTGATTTACTTATGTAAATCAATTTAGCGGGAGGTGAATTTTTTTCTAATATAACTTGTTGTGACAGTGCCTTTTCTTGGGCTTCACACCTCTACAGCACAGGTCGGTTTTGTCCCTTCCTTCCACAAAGGCTGAAAGCCTTTGGCTAAACTCAACAGTAGCATCAGGGTCTGCAGGAGATAACACTGCTCACCGTATCGCTGATTGCCCTAGTCGGTGGAGTTGTTGGAGACCTCCCAGCTCCAAGGCTGACCTATCACTGATCTGTAGTCTTGGGTGCTCCTTTGTTTATTTTTTTTTCTCTCTTTCTGTAGGTCGAACTTCTCCTCGAAACAACGAGCCCTTTCCAGCCCCTCCTGAGGATGGTGAGTATGAAAATGCCCCCTTGGTGGGAATGGGGTCCCTCAGAAGAGGGAGGGCTGCATGTCTGCAGAAACGACTACTTGTAGCGTAGCTATACAGAACCTTTGCTCGCAGCTTCTCTTGAAAGGAATGATCAGTTTCTGCTTTCCCACTTCTTTCTACCTTGGTAGAGCCCGTAACTGCAAAGGAAGCAGTGAAGTCCAGCCAAGCTGCAGACGTCCAGACCCCGTTGCCAAAGCAAGAACTGGTACATACTGTATGATCTGTTAATAGCTGTTCATGCTCCCACTGTGAAAGATATGAGTGCTGGAGACATGATTTCTAATCAAGCCAATTCCTTTACTGAAGAGCAGTAAAAGTGCAGCTCCAGTCTTTGTCCTGCCTTGTGTCTTGCCTGAGCAGCAGAATCGAAGGCCAAGCCTCCAACAGGCGAGGGCTCTATTGCTTTTGTTCGCTTCTCGCACTTGCAGTGGTGTTTCTCCTTGCATCTCAAAATTGGGATAGTCTGAAGAGAACCCAGTGCCAGATTTCTGCAAGTGTTTGCACTGAAGCCATTTTGTGGCCAAAATCACAAGCAACCCACAGGCCAGGACACGTTGTACTGGCTTTTTTAGAATTCTGTCTTCCCCTTCAGGCTGCCTGCAGCCCATTGCCTTAATTTTCGATGCTGATAACGACAGCACTTGGCGCTTCTGCTGGGGCATCTCCATGTTCTTTGCAGACCTTAATTGCATCTTGGCTTGTGCCTGAGAGATAATTTATTGCCTCTTAAACCATGCTAGCAAATTGGATGCTGCTTCTGCATTAGCACCCTGCTGCGAGAGGAAAAGCGGGTCAGGAAGAAAGGCCAGACTAGGGCCAGACTGTTGTTGCTAGAGCTTTTATCCCAATTTCTCCTGTTAGCCTGATCCGGTTCAGAGGCCGCCCATTGCCTCCTCAACTCCTTTGACCAGAACAGAGCCGTCAGTGATTCCTGCAGCCAGGAATGAGCCCATTGGCCTGAAGGCCTCTGACTTTCTGCCAGTAAGTGTCTCTGGACAAAGGTTTCCAGCCGGTGCCTGTGTTGGGTGGCATTAGACAGGGGGTCTCTCTGAGGTGCAGGGGAGTGTCTTAGGTGCTCTCTGCAGCCTGCAATCCTTGGTACTGAACGAGGACATGGTAGCTCTGCTTCTCCCTCTGCTCACTGGGTGCTTCCCCTGCCAGCTTTGGCTTGCAGTTCCTGTAGAATTAGCACCTCGGGGGTGCTGGACCCAGCCCCCATTGCAATTAACAGCAGGTTGATGCGAACACAGCAGCGTCAATCCATGCTCATGAAGAATGTGTCTCTCTTCTAGGAGATGAAGACACTGAACAATCCCACATGCTAGACAGTGATTTATTTTGGAAATTGGTTTCTGCCATTACACGTACATAATTATTTCAAGAGTCTTTCCCTCTTGTGTCTTGAAGGCCTGTTGGCCTCGCTCAGGAGGGTATTCCCTGTCCCAAAAAGGGAGGAGGACCAGAGCATCCTCATGATTTCAAACTAAATGTGAGCAGAGGAAGAGAGATTCCAGCATGCTGTGGGCAGGAATCAGTCTAATAAATTGTGCAAGATTTATACTTCCTAATAAAATTTGTTGATTTCAGATGAACGCTTCACATAAAAACCCCAGGGTTTGCATGAAAATATTTCTTCATCAAAACACACTGGCTTTGAAAGCTTACTTTTAATTCACCCATTTTGAGAGGTTTTTTCTAAAGCTTCAAACGTGTTTGTGATTGACGCAGTAGAAGAGGCAAAAGGGAAGTAGCTGAAATTAGAACAAATTGAGCATTTCCGTTTCAAAATATTTATAAAACAATCTGCAAGGAAGTCGCTATTTCCTGGCCCTCTGCACGCCAAAGTTGGCTCTTGCCTAGGCCAGAGGACCCTCCCACCCCTCTGTGCCATCCTGCTCTATTACCGCACCTCCACTGGTGTCTGTACTTTCAGGCTGTGAAAAACCAAAACCAGACAGAGCTTGTGGATGAGGAAGCCATGTCCCAGATCAGGAAAGGCCACGAGACCATGTGTGTGGTACTCACCAGCCGCCACAAGAACCTGGACACTGTGCGGGCTGTATGGAGCACCAGCGACATCAAGGCAAGGATGTGGGATACCCAAAGCGCAGGAGGGGAGCACCTGAGCGGCTCTTTTGGCTTGTCTAGGGCCGATTCTGCCTCTCACTTGCACAAAATGCAGGGTCTCACAGCTTTTGTCCCCAGGGGTGCACTGCAGAGTGCAGGGGGTGCAGCTGAAGGGTCACAAAGGAACATGGAGAAAACTTTCTTACATGAGAGTTGTCATTTCTTCCCTAGCCAACGCCACATTTCCTCCACCTTGTTTGTGAAAAACGGCCCTTGACATGAATTGCTTTAGTCTAGCCAGCTTTGCAACAGACGACTCTTTCTTCCCATTCTCTCTCAGAACTCGGTGGACTCCGCAGTGGCGATCAATGATCTGTCTGTTGTTGTGGACCTCTTGAATATTGTCAACCAAAAAGCGTGAGTCCTGGGTGGGGGCAGCCCCTGGGATACCCGTGAGGCCTCTGGCTGGGCCTTGGGAGCGCTGCATTCTACATGCCTTGCGTCTGGTGGGCCGCGGCAGGGCGAGATGCATTTGCTGGTAGTCAGATCTTCAAGTCTGCAGTGCCAGTAACTGCTGGAGTTGTATGGGGCCTCTTCTGTAGGCAAATGGTGGGAAAATCTGAAGTCCTGGGGCTTCATAAAATGATTCTGCTGAGAGTCAGTAAAATACGTCAGAACCTGCTGCTTTCTATCACAAGGGGGAGTCCATGAACTTGCCCAGTAAACCTGAGTGCCGCTGCCTGGGCTTCTTCTGCCAGAAAGCGTTATTTGTGGCGACTCAGCCTTGTAAAGCCGCAGTCTCTGGTCTCAGAACGCGTCCTTTTCTTTCAGGTCTCTCTGGAAGCTGGATTTGTGTACTATAGTCCTGCCACAGATAGAGAAACTACTCCAAAGTAAATATGAAAGGTGAGGTCCCCAGAAGATGGTGTGCTGGGGGGACAAGTTGCAGGTGTTCATAGGAGGGCTCCACTGGGTATTTTGTAGCTGGAAGAAAATCCTGAAAAATCACAGAAGATACAGTGTAATCCTGATACAGTGCCTGGAAAAGAGCAATGGAGTTGCCAAGTGTGTGTGGGAGAAGGTAGGGGAAGTAGGCATGGGTGAGAAGAGCGGGATGCTGAAATCTGGTGTAGGTGTACTGGACTGAAGGAGCTCTGACAGCCAGGAGGGGTCAAATTGATGTAGAACAAGTGGGCTCTACAGGCTGATGGGAATGAAACTGTTGAGTTGGGACGAGGGGAATGAAGTCCTGCAACGGCCTTGGAGACACTCGGAAGATTGCTTTGAACCTCATCATTAGGTGGCAAAAAAATGCACCCCCTCTCCTAAGATGGAATCTCTGCCTACCCTTCCTCCCAGAAGAGAGGCTCCTGCTGAGCCCCCTCAGGAGATCTCTGCTTCTGAGTAGAAGGGTCCCTCTTGGCAGGGTGTATACCAGGACCTTTCAAAAGGGCTTACTTGGTCAGTCTTGACTCAAACCAAGGCTGTGTAGGTACCAGACTACAGGTGGTGGAGGGTGGGGTCATTTGAGTCATCCTTGGTGACTGGATGTGAGTGAGGGCTTTGTGCTGGGAGGAAAGGAATGAAACTCAGGTGGGACCCAATTCTGCCTGTCTTTCAGTTACGTGCAGACTGGCTGTGCCTCCCTGAAGCTCATTCTCCAGAGATTCTTGCCACTGATCACAGACATCCTTGCTGCTCCACCTTCTGTTGGAGTGGACATCACCAGAGAGGAAAGGTGAGGTGCTTGCTCGCCTCTACTTGGTCCCTTTTTGAACCAGCCTGGCTCTGGGGCTGGGCTCGCCTTCCCTTTTGTTTCCAAACCCCAAACCCTCCTGCTCTGAGAAAAAGACGAAGGACTGCTTTTCCCTCTGCCACTGTGTGTTGAGTCACACCTAAACAAAGCGTGAGTCTGGGAGTAAAAGCACCCTGTGGCTACACCCTCACCTCACGAGACTCATGAGTTGTCAGCTGGGCCCTGGATTTCCAGTTCATTCACAGGATGGCTCTGCTCTGAGCATTGGCCCTTCAAAAGCCAGCACCTCCTTTCTCCCTGGACTTGACTGCCGAAGGGGAAAAGAGGAGTGAGAGAGCCCTTATGTGGATGCCTTTCTCCTGTGTCATTAGGATGTGGGCTGAATATGTGGTGTTTTTGCTGAGCTGTGCTCCCCTTTCAGACCCTGGAAGGCCGTTTGCAGGGCCTGTGTTTTCTCTCCTGCTTGTGTTGCATCTTTGGCACTGCAGGAACAAGCTCACTCTTAAGCAGCTGAGGGTTCATGCTGTGTCTGCTGTTTTGGGGTTTTTTTGCAGGCTCCATAAATGCAAGCTGTGCTACAAGCAGCTGAAAAACATCAGCAACATCGTCAAGAACAAGTCTGGGCTCAGTGGCCGCCATGGTAGTGCCTTTCGGGAACTGCATCTCCTCATGGCCGTCCTGGAGTGACAGCTGCCACCTCCTTGCGTGCATGGATAGGCGGCCAAGCTCCCCTCTGCTCGTCCTCTGGCTGGATTTCACCTCTCTCTGTGTGCCGTCTTCACCCCCCAGCACAGTAGGGAAGTGGGATCTTGCTGGCTGGTGCCCTGCCCAGCCCCAGCACCTTGCAGGCTGTATGGAGGACCTGAGCGGAGCTGCCTGTGCTGTGAGAGGACCTGGCTGGTGCAGGCCCCTGCAAAGAAAGCCCCTGCAGGGGAATGGCTTCGTTTCAGCTCTTCACCTTAGCATCCAGTGCTCCGCTGCTCCCTCTCTGTGTGCTGGCCTTTCCCTGGTGGGAGGGTGCCCAGCCTGCTGTCGCCCCTCTGTCTCCCCTCCGTTCTCTTGGCTCTTGTCGCTTGGCTCTGGCCTGCTATGTGCAACGCGTGGGGAGTGCAGCATCTGCCTCATGCAGCCTGCTGTGGGCTGGAATGGCCTTTCCCCACAGAGGGGATGTCAGCTGCCACATGAGGCTGGTCCCAGTGGCTCACTTCATCAGAGTGCTGGTGTAGCCTCAAGGACCCGGAGGTGGAGGAGGCTGTCTCTTGGCTTCTCAAAAATCCCTGCTGGCAGCCTGGGTCATGGAAGATTACGGTCTTCAGCCTGTTGCTGGGAACTGCGGTCTACCTGGATCTGTTGGAATATGTGACTTAAACAGGACTCGTATGTGTTTGCCTTGGGGGGAAGGCTGGGGAGGGTGGAGGGACAGAGGGACATGGACTAATGTCTTTCTACATCGCTGGATCGCTCTTAGAGGGTTTGGGGTTTTTTTTCCCCCCCCGCAATAAATGTCTGTCAGAACCTTTCTGTCCCTCTTTCTTCTGTCCTGGGGGAAAGAGGTTCCTGTTGGTGCTTCCCTTGCTCCTCCCAGCCCATCTCCCATTTAATACACTGGAGCTTGTTCTCTGGGAAACTGTAACTTATAATGAATTTTATTAAAAGATTTGTAACTTTTTTTTTTTTAATGAAGTCATGTAAGTGCCTGAATCTTTTGAAGTGTTGCTTACCTCAGCACAGCTCCTGACTGGGAGTGGCCAGGGACAGGACACAGGGCTGTGCTTCCCTGCATGTCCCAGGGGAGGCAGGGAACCCTGTCCCTGCCCAGGGGGAGGCTGCGGTGGGTACATTGATGCGGGGAGCGAGGCGGAGCGAGCCTGGGCCCAGGCCTGTGCCTTGCTGGAGGGTTTGCTCTGCTGGGTGGTTCCCGAAGAGTGAAGTCAGTGTCGGTGGCTTCTTCCCCCTCCTAAATCCAATCTCTTCTCCCCCCCACCTCGGCAGAGCGGCACAGGGCGTGCAGCGCTTTGTGGGGTGTGAGCTCCTGAGCCAGGTGCTGCTGCTTGGGGAGGTAGGAGGCCGGGTCGGGAAAGGTAAAGCCCATCCCTACCTTTGCTGATGCTTCATCCAACCGTGGTCAAATTTTAGGAAGGAAGGGGAGCATCCTGCTCTGTGGCCCCGAGGGCCTGGTGCTGGCTCACATAGCCCTTGTAGGACACCCCACACACACAGCTGTGGCCGAGGGTGGTGCCTGCTTCGAGCAGGGGGAGGAGGGCAGGACCTGTGTCCTGCCTGTGCTGCGGTTGCTGATGGCTTCACCGGAGGCCTCTCTGCAGATAAATCCAGGGTGCCTGGACCCCACCAAAGTGCAAAAGGGCTCCTCCAGCCCTGAGCGGAGCCCAGAGCTGGGAGAGGTACAAGCGGGAGCTCTGGCACTGGGACTTAGGGTGGCTGCAGCCTGGGGGCTGCAAGAGGGGGCTCTCATGGGCTCTTCCACCTCCGGGGCGGGGGGGAGACAGATACTCTCCAAGCAGGGCAGGAGCAAACGCCTGCCCCCAGCTGGGCTCCAACCCACTGCAAGGATGTAACAGCAGGACTGCCTTTAACAGTTTATTTAAAATAAGTTTTGTTACAAAACAGGATTTTTTTAAATTATTAAAATACATAGAAACATCTAATATTAGAAAAGGCTAAACGTGTTTTTTCCCTTTTTTTTTTTTCTCTTTTAAAACGGAACACATGGTGGAAGAGCGAGAGAGGCGAGGGCTGCGGTGGGCAGGAGGCAGTGGTGCACATGCACCCAGGGCTGTTGTGCAGCGGTGCAGTGGAAATGGTCTCCCCTCTGCCCCGCCCCTGCTCCCCCCCACCATCCCGACACATAAGCCAATAGGCTTTTGGACTGGAGGGCTGGTTGTTTTTGTTTTCCACTTGGTTTCCAGTCCAAGACCATGTAAACAGGGTACAAACATTTCAAACACATCCGTCTCGCCCACAGGGTGACCCCATCTTGACAAGATAAATAACTTTACAGTAGCTTCATTTGAGACTGCTAAATCCACCCTGGTGCTGTGCAGTACAGGCAGCCCCGCAACCACACTCCCTCTGTGCCTGGGCAGCTGGCGCAGGGCCCTGGCAGCACCGGCACCACCACGAACAGCAGCTCAGCTCACGCACGGCACAGGGGCACCTTCATGCAACAACAGGGCTTGAGAAACCTATGGGGAAAGGAGCTGCTAGGATTTCTTTTCTGGCTTAGAATGGAGGAAGCGCTGCTTCAAAAGCCATGGGGCAGCTGCCTGGATGCATTGGGGGAGCTGCGGCCAGGCTGGACCCATGGGGAGGGGTCTGGGGGCCACCTGGCTCCAAGCCCCCCCAGCCAGGTACCACTGCTGTTGTAAAAACAAAGCTGGAGAGTCAGAGGGAGCACCCAGCAGCTCCCTGCTTTGGCTAAAAACGTCCATTTAGCAACAATAAAACGTCACAGAGCTGAGCAGCTGAGGGTGCAGATCCCTGCCCAGCACCGCTGTCCCCTGCTGCGAGATGGGGAGTCCAGCTGCTGGGAGACCCCCCAGCCCTGTGCTGCTCACAAGGCAAGAAGTGCTGTCACCTCCTGGTCGTGGGTCCCGGTGGGTGAGGGACAGCACCACAGCCTTTGTGTCTTCCAGCAGCCGGCTTGCCATAGCACCAGGAGGGGCCAGGTCCTGCAGCAGGTTTGGTGCTGAGGCTGGCACTTGTCACACAGGGACCGGCCTCAGCTTCCCTGGGGGAAAGACATGCGTGGGTCACAGCGGGCAGGGGCACGGGCCGTCACTGCCCCAGCCCCAGCCGCTGGCATTTCAGTGGGTGCTGCCTTGAGCTGGTACCACAAGCATCCCCACGCACAGCCCCGGGAGCGGCACAGCCCGACACCTGCCCGGGAAGCGGGGCCCTCCACCAGCTCCTGGCCGCAGGCACTCACCTGGCGGCTGCCCCTAATTTAGGCTGAAATTGAAAGGGAGAGAGGTTGAACCCGGGGCACTGCCACTGCCCCGCAGCATCCCTGCCCCCCCACACCCCGAGCCACTGGCAACAGCTTTGCACCAGGGCACTCTTGGGGAAGCGCTAACCAGGCTCCTGATGGCTAATTAGCCATTAGTTAATGAGCTGATTACAAATCAGCTAGCTCCCCCCACATGCTTTGCCTGCCAGCACCCAGCTGGCGGTGGGCGCCTCCTCTGCCAGAGAGACCCCAGCTGGGCACCCAGGGCTGTGGTGCCCCACCACCCACCTGAGGTCTGGAGCTTCCTGCGGATGGAGGCGGCGCGGCTGGAGAGGTGCCCTGGGCTGGGGGACGGATGGCCCCGGCCCGAGGGTGCTGTGGGCCCCGGCACGTCACCCTGAGGGGAGAGGGGGCACGGCCCCAGGGTCAGCCTATGCCAGTCCCCAGGGGGAAGGGACAAGGACAGGCTCCCGGGCAGATCATGCCTGCTGGGGTAGCAGTGTCCAAACGTGCTCTGGGGGTACCACGGGGCTGCTGCAAAAGGGCTTGGAAGAGCCAAAGTGCCAGCATCGCCTGGGTGCCGCTGCCTGGGGACAGCCTGCATCCCCATGGGTGATGCTCCCCAGTGGATGTGGCTCTAGAGGGAACCCAACAGCAAAGAGCCCTGGGGACCACACCTGGGGGAAAACCAGGGAGACCCCCTGGGGTGAGGGGGAGGAGGAGAAGGAAGGGCCCCGGCGGCTCCTGGGTTACCTCCAGCTGCTCCTGGCTGGGCCAGGAGGCCAGCTCGGTTTTGCGGGAGACAGGACCCAGCTCCACGGAGCGAACCCTCTCAGCAAACTTCAGGGAGCACAGCGTCTCACTGGTGTTTTTCTCGGCGGGGGAGACCTGCGGTCAGGCAGGAGCAGAAAGTCGCCGCACCGGCCACCTGCACACCCCCAGGGCTCCCCTGCCCCAGCAAATGCACTGGTGCCGGCCCAGTGAGATGCTATTATTAACCTGCCGCTCCCGGGATAGCCCTGTCCATCTGCACCAGGGCCGGCGTCTGAGCCAGCCGGATCCCCTGTCACCAACTGCCCTGGCGCGCAGGGCAGCCGGGAAATGCTGCAGCAGGTGGCAGGGGCTCAGGCACCCTCGAGGGGCTTGGTGGGCGCAGGCAGGCAGGGGGACGGGCCCCAGGACAGGCATGGAGCAGCTGCCAGAGCATTAAATCCTCCCAAGGAAGAAAGGGGACGGGGAGACGCCAACAGGCAAGGAAACCGTACCAATAAGGATGACATCCACGCACCCTAGGGAGGGTGGGATCGTGGACTTCCGAGTTTATCCCCCATCCCTTGTCCTCGTCTGGGGTGCAGAGGTGGGGACAGAGCTACCCTGACACCGCAGCTGGAGACCAGAGGATGTCCAAACCCAGTTCCCCCCGTCCCAGCCTCCAGCATCCCTCCCACCTGCCCAGCACCGAGGTGAGCAGGGACCAAACCCATCCCAAAACCTGCACCGAGTGGCCACGGGGATGCTGATGGGCAGCAGGCGCCTGGCCCCTACCTGCACCATCATCAGGGTCTTGCTGTCGCCGCTGAGTGAGTCCTGCAGCAGGTAGGTCAGCTTGGAGTTGCGGAAGGGCACGTGGCCCTGCCGGGAGCGCAGGGCATAAATGACATCGCCCAGTGCCGAGAGGGACTTGTTGATGTGCTGCGCCTCGCGGAGCCGGTTGCCCTCGGCACCGGACCGCCCGACCCGCTCTGATCCCGCCAGGTCCACCAGGTTCAGCTTCCCTAAGGACACAGAACCGACCCCTCCGCCAGCATCAGTGCCTGGCCCCCGCACTGTGGGGACACCGTGGCCCAGACACCCTGGTGAGGGGCTCACCCCGTGGCACCCACCTGTGGTGCGGAGCCCTGTGCTGCGGTCAAGGCCACGGACGGTGACGATGAGGAGGGCATGGGAGCGGGAGCTGTGCTCGTTCAGGTTGGTGCATTCTGTTGCCCGGTTGACGTGGCCGAACTCGAAGACCTGGGGGAGCACAGGGAGGTGAGGCCAGTTGCCACAAACCCACCACAGCTCTCCCGAAACCCGCGAAACCCTAGGGACGTAACCCAAGTGACAGCCCCCCACAAGGTGCCTGGTCCATCGGGGCGATGACCGCTGTCAGGCCTCAGCCTGGGCGATGCACCGAAGGCAGAAGGTGACAGGCAGGGTGCTACAGTGACAGCTGGCACCCTGCTAATCTCCTGGGAGCCACCCGGGCCCCACACTTTTATTTTTAACCCCCCTGTGGCTCACCCCATGGGACAGTGACCATCACATTGCACCCAGGGACCTATTTTGGTCTCTGCCACTCCCCGGTGCTTCAGAAATACTCCTGAACCAGGGGTCATGCACCAGAGACCCCCCCCTCCCCCAATTCATCAGCCCCCGCCTCCTGCTCCCACTGCCCCCCACCTCCCTGCACCTTGTTGATGTCCTCCACGCTCTGCACCCTGAACTCAGTCAGGCCGGGCACGTAGAGCTGCCCGCTGCCGTCAGGGCACAGCCTAATCTCCAGCTTCTCCTGTGGCTCCTTCCCCAGCAGGTCCCTGGGCAAAGGGGGGCACCCGTCACCATCCCTGCCCGGGGCAATGGGCTCCAGCCTCGCCCCGGCACGGCCTGGCCCCAGCACGGCTCAGGGCTGTGAGCCAAGGCCGCCAGAGCCACCCCCTTATCCCGAGGATGCTGCCCAACCTAACAAACAGATCTCAGCTCTCCAGCTCCCGCTGGCTCCCCAGGAGCCCGCTCCCACCCAGCCCAGACCACGCTCCCCTCCCTGCTCTTTATTGCCATTCTCCATCCCCGTTACCCACACTGACGCGCTTCCAGCCTCCTCCCAGCCCCCCTGCCTGCAGCTGGGCAGGGGAGGAAAATATTCCTCATGCTCCCAGCTCCCAGTTAGTGATTTCTAAATATAATGTCCAAGGAGGCAGGAGCAGGGAGGAGAGGGGGACGCCCTGGCCGCTGCGGAGCAGGAGTGATGGTGGGGCTGGGAGCCTGG